CATTCGATCTTCATAATAACACCATGAGAAGGTGTTGTTATAATCCCCATTTTACAGATGGGGAAACCGAGGCTCAGAGAGGTGAAGTCATTTGCCCAAGGTTGCACAGGAAACAGGGGATGCCCACCTCGTTGTCTCATGATGCTAATGAATGGGCAGGAGTGGAGGCAGGCAGGGGGTCCAAGAGGAATGCCCGGGCCCCTGCTGTCCCGGCAGTTCCTACCTTGCTGGTGGCAGTGCAGGTAGACAATCTCTTCCAAGCGGATGGTCATGGCATAGTCCCAGTAGACGCTAGAAGGGGAGGGAGGGTCAGGCTTGCAGGATGCCTGCCTACCTCACGGTGGCGAGGCGGTTAGGAGACCAGCAGGCCACACCCATGGGCTCCTCCATCCTTCTCACCAGGATCACCTGTCCCCAGCTTCTGTGTCCCAGGCTGCCCAGACTCTACTTCTCCTTCTTCTGGCACCAGCACCCCAATATTCCCCACTCCTAGTCCATATGGCTAAGGTGAGGCTGACCCCACTGACTCTCCACTCCAGGACTCCAGGAACGGCCACCTGGCCCAGGCCCGGCCACAGTGGCGGTGCAGGGATGGCTCCATGACCCAAGCAGAATCAATGGGACTCAACTATCGGACTTATGATAGAATGACTGGGAAAGAGATGCTCCCCTCCGCCTGGAGAGTAGTGGCAAGAAGTCTGGAGACGGAAGGGACCACAGCCTGAGAATCGCATCCACAGACAGGAAGACAGCCAAGAGATGGGGAAAGCACAGGCGCCCGCCATCGGAGTCCCTGGATCCACGCACACCTGGGGCCACCGTCCCGGATATTTCGATGCATGTGGGCCAGTGCTTAAGTCCGCTTGAGTCTGGTTTTCTGTAACCGGCACCTAAGAGTCTTGACTAGCCCACACCCTAACCCCAGGCCCCCGCGTGTCCACGGACAGGAGTTAGGATAGCCACGCGACAGCCTTGACTCCATAGCTCCCAAAAGTGTGACTGAAGGGACTCTCTGAGGCTCCATTTGCTCATCTGTAAAACGGGGACTGTAACAACACACCCACCCAGAGCGTTGCCATGGGGATTAAACAGAATCGTGTATTTGAAAGGCTCAGCACAGAGCTGATACGTTAAAAAGTGCATACCTGGGAAACGGTCCCTGTGAGTCACTCAAGTGCTTTCATTTCTACCTCAAAACCTGCTGCTGTCCTGAAACCAGTGCTTTTCCCATCAGAACACAATGGGAGGTGGAGGCCACAGGAACCAGGGCTCTGTGGCAGCCACGGGAATGCACTGCTCAGATTGCACCTCCCGGAGACCTTGCTGCAGGTAGCTGAGCTGACTAACTTCAGAGGCCACCCCTGTGGACCTACCGCCAGGTTTGCACCTCATCCTGCTTCCCCAAGGATGCTCCCAGCCAGGACGGAGCACACGGAGCCCGTTTCTGTGCCACCAGGGACCCCTCTAGCAGCCAGTAGTCCACTGGAGACCCCCAATTGGTCCAGCAAGACGTTCTTAGAGCTGTGCTATGTCCGGGACTCATCCTGCCCCATCTTCCTTCCTTCCCCTCCCACTCCCAGCATGGAGGTCTGTGGGCTCTCCCCGCCCTCCCCTGCCCCCCGCTTACCCCACACAAGTGCATGCCCAAGAAATCTGTGCTCGGCTACTCCTGGCTCGGCACCTGCTTCTCAGAGGACCCAACCTGACACAAGGTCAGACAATGTTCACATCTCACTTCTACCACCTACTTTGGACCAGTCCCTACGCCTTCCTGGGCCTCAGTTTCCCCAGCTGTGAAATGAGGAAGTTGGAATAGAAACGTCGAAAGCCCTTCTTGCCCTGGTCTGTACCACAACCAGCCTCACCAGGGTTCACGGAAGTGAACGTCCTTCGAGGACAGCAAAGTGCACACGAGTAGCAGCCTCTGCTGGGCCCCTCACACGCCTAGTCTAGCCAGCGTGTCCCTCCCTGGCCCCCGCAGTGCCATGTGCCTGTCACACAGAGTTGCAACTGCCTGCTCTTCCCCTCTGACTGCCCAAATGCTGCTGAACATCCGGAGAGGGGCTCTGTTTTGTTCACTTCTCCATAATGCCCAGGAAATGTTTCTCATGCACAGCGAATGCTGAGCGCTGGAAATGCCCAGTGAACAAAGCGACTTACGACGTGCCTGTTCACAAACAGAAAAAGATGCAGAAACATGCAGTCTAGATGATCTGGTGGTGGTGGAGAGGCTTGGCGATCACTGGATCCAATGCCTTTCTCAAGACACTAGCATCAAAACTTTCCTGCCCACACAACCCTGGGCTTCAGTCCAAGCAACAAACAGGGTTCTCAGGCTGTTTGAACCTCTGATGTCGGGCGGAAGACACTTTGATGTTAG